CAGGGTTGCAGCGGGTACTGAAGGTGCTGCCAAGTTTGCCGGTGCAAAAGCCATTTTCGCCACGAATGCTGTGAAGTATCACGTAAATAAACTCCGAGCTAAAGCTTGGGCTGCAGAAAAAGGACAGGTCCTGCACCACGCCATTGCAAAAGATAGAATCTCAAGTGTCGCTTTGCGCGAGAAGCCAGATTTGGGCAAAGAAAAATTGACATGGCTGCAGCGGCACGATCAGGACTGTGGGTCCTTGTATGGTGTTTTGCCGCTCTTCATTGGCATGCCAGTGGCTGCCACAGATCACTTGGATCGAAGCCGTGGCATTTTACGTGGGTGTGCTGGAGAGATTGTGGGGTGGGTTTGGCCCGCCGGTGCAGTCGACGCGGCGAAGCAAGAGGGAATGCAGATTTGGAATGAGTTGCCGGCGTGCGTGTTGGTCCGGTTCCAAACGAAGACAACATGGCGCGTCGATGGGCTTAATGAGGACAACGTCTTTCCCGTGGCGCCACAGAAGAAATCGTGGTACTTGGACAAGGGGCGGCGGCGGCCAGTGCTGCGTGTCACGCGAAAGCAGTTTCCATTGGCTCCAAATTTTGCAACAACTGCCCACGCAGCGCAAGGGCAAACTCGTAAAGAAGGGGTTGTGATGGACATGCACATCGGCGAAGCAGGCGACCCATTGACAGCGTATATTGCGATCACGCGTGTCCAAGACAGGCATGGTTTGTTTGTGTACAGACCTTTCCCTGCAGCACCGTTTCAGAAAGGCGAAAAAGTAGGCCGTGCATTGCTGTTGCGGTTCTGGGCTGGTGAAGAAATGGACTGGAGTGCACTGCGAAAGAAATACCGAGACGAAAAGCAATGCAAGGAATGTAATGAATCGAAGCCGACGTCTGCGTTTACGGCCGGCCGCTGGAAACGCGAAGATGCAGCAAGGGTATGCAAAGAATGCATTCGTCGGCATGTAGAAGCGCAGCAGCCGTGGCAATGCATGGCGTGCACAGCGTGGAAACAAGAGGACGCATTCATGGCAAAACATGCAAAGCCACAAGCGACATTTCATCGGATTTGCACAACGTGCGAAGCAACACAAGTGTGCACCGTCTGCAAAGTGCGCAAGGACGAAAATAAATTTTCGACTGCGGCATGGAAACGAGCACGCCATGGCAGTAGAGTGTGTCTTGATTGTGGCAGTAAAGCTTGGGGGTGGTGGCGATGCAGCGTGTGCAAAGTAAAGGAAGCAGCCCCCGCGTTTGAATCATATGGTTCTTGCAATGGAGACCAAATCTGTAAGAATTGCTGGACATCCAGAATTCCCCGGAAAAGCATCAGCAGAGCACTAGAGCGAGTAGCTGCAACGCAGGCAAAAGTAGCGGCAACGGCCGTGGAAGAAAAAAAGGCGCGTGTCATAGCGGAAGTCCGGGCCGCTATTGCGGAGAAAAAACGGACGCGAGACGCGGATGGTTCCCAAACGCAAGGAGCAGAGCCGAAAGCGAAACAACGGAGAGAAGAGGGAAGGGAAGAAATGACCATTGCGAATGCCCAGGATCCCATCACAGAACAAAAACGGAGAAGAGAAGTGGACGAGGCCGAAGCACAAGAAGGAGAACCGAAAGAAAAACAACGCAAAGACAAAGCAGGGAAGGCCGAAGAAAAGCATAAAGCCTTGAAAGCAGGTAAAAGGCAGGAAGGCAACAAGGCCAGCAAGGAGAAGACCTTGCCGGCAAATACACGACACGCAACGCAGAGAGGAAAGAGTTTCCAATATGTCTGTCCTGCTTGCCATCAGTCAGTGATCAGCAGCATACGCACAGGGCAAGTAAATCATCGCCGGACATGCGGGCACCAATTCCAAGTGAAAGACGGTGTTGCGGCAGAGAAATCTATTGCTTACACATGTCCATTCTGCAAGGGGCTTGTTAACAGCAATGTGAAGACAGGGAAAATCAACCATCGGGGTGTCTGTGGGTACGAATTTTCCGTACAGGACGGCGTTGTCGCAAAGAAAAGTTTTGTTTACCAGTGCCCATTTTGCAATGGACTTGTGAACAGCAATGTGAAGACTGGGAACATCAACCATCGGGGTGTCTGTGGGTACAAATTTTCGGTGCGGGACGGCGTTGTCGCAAACAAAAGTTTCGTTTACCAGTGCCCATTTTGCAATGGACTTGTGAACAGCAACGTGAAGACAGGGCAAATCAACCATCGATCTGTGTGCAACAATCAATTTTACGTCAAGGACGGTGAAGTCAGCAAGCAGACACGGCGTCATACGCACAGTTGCCCGGTCTGCTCCACTGTTGTTTGGTCATCGCTGTCATGTGGCCGCATTGCTGTCACGCATGACATGCCATCGGGAAAACCATGTCACAAGAAGCAGTGGCACGTTCCCGAGAAAAAGACAACGAAAACAAAAAAGAAATAAGAGCCATTAGGCTTTCTAGGAGCAACTGCATGTAGAAAGGCCACCCGCAGGGAGGCGTGGGCAAGTTTTGAAGGCTGGCAGAGGCAGCTTTGAACCCCTGTAAAAAGACAATGCCACGGCCTGAGCGGCTAGTCGAAGCTGAAGGAAGGGTATGCCGCGGCCTGGGTTATGCCAGGAGTTGGCAAATGGCAGCCTTGAACCCCATAAAAAGACATTGCCACGGCCTCAGGGACTTGTTGGAGCTGCAGGAAAGGTTCACCGCGGCCTGAGTGGCGCCTGGGAGCTGCAGGGAAGCGTTTGGGGAGTTTTGGCGAGTTTTGAAGGCTGGCAAACGGCAGCCTTGAACCTCCATAAAAGGACATTGCCACGGCTTCGAGACTTGTTGGAGCTGTAGGAAAGGTTCACCGCGGCCTGAGTGGCGCCTGGGAGCTGCAGGGAAGCGTTTGGAGAGTTTTGGCGAATTTTGAAGGCTGGCAAACGGCAGCCTTGAACCTCCATAAAAAGACATTGCCACGGCTTCAGGGACTTGTTGGAGCTGCAGGAAAGGTTCACCGCGGCCTGAGTGGCGCCTGGGAGCTGCAGGGAAGCGTTTGGGGAGTTCTGGCGAGTTTTGAAGCCTGGCAAACGGCAGCCTTGAACCCCCATAAAAGGACATTGCCACGGCTTCAGGGACTTGTTGGAGCTGCAGGAAAGGTTCACCGCAGCCTGAGTGGCGCCTGGGAGCTGCAGGGAAGCGTTTGGGGAGTTTTGGCGAGTTTTGAAGCCTGGCAAACGGCAAACGGCAGCCTTGAACCTCCATAAAAGGACATTGCCACGGCTTCAGGGACTTGTTGGAGCTGCAGGAAAGGATCACCGCGGCCTGAGTGGCGCCTGGGAGCTGCAGGGAAGCGTTTGTGGAGTTTTGGCAAGTTTTGAAGCCTGGCAAACGGCAGCCTTGAACCTCCATAAAAGGACATTGCCACGGCTTCAGGGACTTGTTGGAGCTGCAGGAAAGGTTCACCGCGGCCTGAGTGGCGCCTGGGAGCTGCAGGGAAGCGTTTGGGAAGTTTTGGCGAGTTTTGAAGCCTGGCAAACGGCAGCCTTGAACCTCCATAAAAGGACATTGCCATGGCGTCAGGGACTTGTTGGAGCTGCAGGAAAGGATCACCGCGGCCTGAGTGGCGCCTGGGAGCTGCAGGGAAGCGTTTGGGGAAGTTTTGGCGAGTTTTGAAGCCTGGCAAACGGCAGCCTTTAACCTCCATAAAAGGACATTGCCACGGCTTCAGGGACTTGTTGGAGCTGCAGGAAAGGTTCACCGCGGCCTGAGTGGCGCCTGGGAGCTGCAGGGAAGCGTTTGGGAAGTTTTGGCGAGTTGTGAAGGCTGGCAAACGGCAGCCTTGAACCTCCATAAAAGGACATTGCCACGGCTTCAGGAACTTGTTGGAGCTGCAGGAAAGGATCACCGCGGCCTGAGTGGCGCCTGGGAGCTGCAGGGAAGCGTTTGGGGAGTTTTGGCGAGTTTTGAAGCCTGGCAAACGGCAGCCTTGAACCTCCATAAAAGGACATTGCCACGGCTTCAGGGACTTGTTGGAGCTGCAGGAAAGGTTCACCGCGGCCTGAGTGGCGCCTGGGAGCTGCAGGGAAGCGTTTGGGGAGTTTTAGCGAATTTTGAAGCCTGGCAAACGGCAGCCTTGAACCTCCTTAAAAGGACACTGCCACGGCCTCAGGGACTTGTTGGAGCTGCAGGAAAGGTTCACCGCGGCCTGAGTGGCGCCTGGGAGCTGCAGGGAAGCGTTTGGGGAGTTTTGGCGAGTTTTGAAGCCTGGCAAACGGCAGCCTTGAACCTCCTTAAAAGGACACTGCCACGGCCTCAGGGACTTGTTGGAGCTGCACAGGGTCTGCCGCGGCCTGTTGCGTCTGGGAACGCCGTAGAAACCGAGATTGCTGCATGAGTGGCCCGTGGGAAGTGGACAGAAATTGCTGTGGCCTGAGTGGCTCCTGGGCGGTGAACAGAGAGTGCTATAAGCGTTTGGGGAGTTTTGGCGAGTTGTGAAGGCTGGCAAACGGCAGCCTTGAACCTCCATAAAAGGACATTGCCACGGCTTCAGGGACTTGTTGGAGCTGCAGGAAAGGATCACCGCGGCCTGAGTGGCGCCTGGGAGCTGCAGGGAAGCGTTTGGAGAGTTTTGGCGAGTTTTGAAGCCTGGCAAACGGCAGCCTTGAACCTCCATAAAAGGACATTGCCACGGCTTCAGGGACTTGTTGAGCTGCAGGAAAGGTTCACCGCGGCCTGCGTGGCGCCTGGGAGCTGCAGGGAAGCGTTTGGGGAGTTTTGGCGAGTTTTGAAGCCTGGCAAACGGCAGCCTTGAACCTCCTTAAAAGGACACTGCCACGGCCTCAGGGACTTGTTGGAGCTGCACAGGGTCTGCCGCGGCCTGTAGGGAAGCGTTTGGGGAGTTTTGGCGAGTTTTGAAGCCTGGCAAACGGCAGCCTTGAACCTCCTTAAAAGGACACTGCCACGGCCTCAGGGACTTGTTGGAGCTGCACAGGGTCTGCCGCGGCCTATTGCGTTTGGGAACGCCGTAGAAACCGAGATTGCTGCATGAGTGGCCCGTGGGAAGTGGACAGAAATTGCTGTGGCCTGAGTGGCTCCTGGGCGGTGAACAGAGAGTGCTATGGCCTGGGTGGCGCGTGGAAAGTGCAAAGCATTGGGAAAGAAAAAAAGTTCCACACCTGCGGTGGTCCCAGGCGCCGCCCCTGCCTTGGCTAAGGCAGGGGTCGGCGGATTTTTCTCTTTAAACCATCATCTGCCGGTCACCTAACTATTGATGGTTAAATATGAAATTAACATATCCCATACTATATTTCCACTACTTAACTATCCACTATAGCCACTACTGTATGTATATATATATATACATAATTATATATAATATGTTGGTAAAACAATGCCATGAACCATCCCCCATGACTCACCATGTTTATAGGTGCTATGGTGACCATTCCCAGCTGGTCAAAATGGCATTGGTTTAACCACATTAATCATTAGTGTAATAACCATCAACTAGCCATGAAAACCACCATTAATAACCATTAACCATTATTAATAACCATTGTTTTAACCATAGTTATTGGAGTTTTAAGCACCATTAACCATTACTAATAACCATTAACAACCATTATAATGGATGATTTGGGGGTACCCCATTATTAATAACCATTAATAACCATCAAGAACCATCCCCCCGTATTTTTTTTGCCTCGGGAGCCCCAATGGCAGGCCTCTCTGGCGGGCGGCGTCCTGCGGGACCTCTCGGACTACGGCACCGTGCTGCGGATCCTGCGGCCGCACTTCGCGTCGCGGAAGATCCTCGAGGAGGTCGAACGCGTCGCGGTGAACGCGGTGAACGATGAGTGTGTTGATGGTGGTGAATGATTTAAAAAAAATGGAGAATGAGGATAATGATAGCTGACACAATTTTGATTCATATTCTAGTCTAGGTGATATATTAATCCTGGTGAAACATGATATTATAGGTGAAGGATGGTGAAATACTATAGTTTACTGACATGTTTGTTGATATTAATGATGGTTGAATGATGGTTAATGATATGATGTTTATTGATGATATCATTAACCAGGTATTCATAGATATGTTTGTTGATGGTTAATGATGTTTGTCCAGATGATAGTTCATGAAACACTGTAATGAATCCTGGTAAAAATATGGTAAAACACCGTAATCATCTGGAATACATCACTAGAATCCTGGTGAATCATAGTTCTCATAGTCAGTAAATTGATCACTTCATAGAATTGGATGATGGGAAAAAATACAAGAAATCCCTATATTTGATGGTAAAAACCATGGTTTCATGTAGATTTTCCCTTAAACCAATCCAATAATCACTATAATCACTGGTTCTTCAGGCAGATTTGCGTCCAATGATGGATGCACTCTTTGGGCCAGTTCTCACCATGCTTGTTTGATTGGCAAAAATGGCTCACCGGATGCAACCGAACATCTGCCGCAATGCGACTGAGATCCTCACCTGGATGGGACTGGATCATCAATTCACCATTGGACCATAGGATCACGGATGCTCAAGGGATGTAAAAAAAAGTAGATTGAAAAAAAAACATGTTGTTCAAGTTATTACCATGATGGAAAATGGAATTCCATCCCTTGGTCGAACTTGTCAGTGACATCCCTTTTTTCCTTGGAGGATCATCCCACTTAAGTGATAAGCCCTACTTTTTTGTTAAGATCCCAACTGCAGTTCTCCCACTTTGGCTATACCCAAAGACCAACTGCTTGGAGTCGCGACGTTCCAGAAATATTTTTCTGGAGACAAATCACCGACTCGATGGACTCCTCCCAATTTATCCCAACTGGAGGGCTTTCACCAAGATTTTCACCATGATTTCACCACGATTACCCTCTGGTAATTTAACATAGCTATTGAAAATGGCTATTTATAGTGGATTTACCCATGAAAAATGGTGATTTTCCATAGCTATGTAAACGTTTACCAGAGGGTAACCAGCCATTCTCTTCCAACCCCCGGCGTTTTCCCCTATGACGATGCCTGCTGCCCCAGGTGGAGTTGGCGGCGCCTCCCAACGCCAGCGGCATCTCCCCGGGCTCCGTGCTGCTGAAACGCATCGGTGACGAGGTCCGAGTCCGTAAAAAAAAACCAACGGAACTTCCTGGTGAACGTACAAAAAGCTATTGAAAATGGCCATAGAAATAGTGAGTTTTCCCATTGAAAATGGTGATTTTCCATAGTTTTTTTGTATGTTTACATAGTTATTAATGATTATTAGTAATGGTTAATGATGCTTATAACTATTTATAACTCCAATTTCACTATGGTTATAACAATGGGTATTAATGGTTAATAACTACAATGTGGGGCCCCCGTTCGATAGCTAAGTTGGTGCGTTTATAACTCCAATTTCACTATGGTTTATGGTACGCAAATAACTATAGTTATGGGGGTTATAAACCAACAAACATCACTGGGGGGCCCCACATTGTGGGGAATTTTCGGGAATGATCCACAACTGATTGGGATTCATAGGGATTAATAGGGGAAAATCTACAGGAAACCATGGTTTTTACCATCAAATACACCCTCTGGTTATTTGTTACATAGCCATGGTATAGATGGCCCATAGAAATAGATGGTTTACCTATTAATAGCATGGTGATTTTCCATGGCGAACTGTTAAATAGCCAGATGGTAATAGGGGATAAACCCATTGGATATAGGGGATAAACCCATTGGATAATTAACTGCTTGGTTGTTTGGAACCATGGAATTTTATGATTTTTCCATATATTGGGAATTTCATGATACCACCAACCAGTCAACAATAATCCCAGCAACCCCCACCCATCCATTCCCTACGTTTAGCACCAGTTTATGGATGGGATTCCTGAAATTAGGAGTTGAGTTGCACGACTGCAGGTGAAGTTGCTGACGGACCGTGATGATTGTGAAGAGGCCATTTGGGAAGGTCATGGAATTCATGGAAGTTTTAGTGTCGAAATTCGACTGGTTGGTGGTTTGGAACATGATTTTTGTTTCCCCATATGTTGGGAATAATCATCCCAACTGACCAATATTTTTCAGAGGGGTAGGTCAACCACCAACCAGAGAAGTAGGCATCACGAGATGCCAAATTCGATTCGTCCGATTCGTCCTGATGAGCAGAAGGAATCCAGCGAACTCGGTTTTTTTTTGACCAGACGTGAATAGGATACAGAAGACTGGAGTAAGTCAGTGGGGAAACAATCAAGGGACAGGGAAATAGCCACCAACAAGAGGAGTGTTTTTTAAAGAGAGAGAGAATGGGTATGGGTCGTAGCCAGTGCAGGGTTTTGTGCGACAGACTAAATCTTCAAGGATCTTCTCAGCTGGGATGCAAGTGGCTGGTGAAGACTAATATCATTGATGCCAGTCCAAACATGTGGTGATCATTCTGTTGATCATTCGGATGTTTCTCTACGTTCTGGAGGGAAGATGACGACTTGATGGTATTTCCGTAGCTCAAAGCTCCAACTAGATGAGTACTGCGCAGCACAACCGCTGGACCACAGAAAACCATTGGAAAATCTTGGATCAACTCAACAGCCCATCTTGCCATCCTAAATCGATGAGCTTTTGAATTGAAATCCCACAGGCCCACTTTACAACAACCCACTTCGGAGTTGGAACCATTCAAAGGCACAATGGAACCGTCATTTGGATTTTAGATTGGTCAGGAGACCTACAAGTTTGGGGTTCCATGCGTAGTTTCCGAAAGTCAGTATGAAATTATATATGATAACACATATGATAATGTTATACTTAGTGTTTCTTAGTCTTATCTTGTAAACAATCCTATTATATCCAATCCATGTTTCGTTGTTTCCAACCACCGACCATTTGGTGCACCGGCACTAGGTGCCCGGTCGTCGCGGCTGCATCCAGACCTTGTCCGCACGCACAGAAGCTTGGGCATTGAACTGGGATATTTGAGGAATTTCATGGTGACTTGATCGGATTTCATGGTGATTTTATTGGTGACTTAATGGTATTTAATGGTGATTTAATTGGATTGAACGGTGACTTAATGGGATTTAATGGTGACTTAATGGGATTTAATGGTATTTAATGGTGATTTAATTGGATTGAACGGTGACTTAATGGGATTTAATGGTGACTTAATGGGATTTAATGGTGACTTAATGTGATTTAATTGTGATTGAATGAAATTTAATGGGATTTAGGTGATTTAATTGGAATTATTGGACTTTGAATAGGATCCAATGGTGATTTAATTGTGATTTAATGGGATTTAATGTGATTCAATGGTGACTTAATTAATGGGATTGCCTGGTGATTAATAGGAATTTAACTATCAAAAATGGTGATATGAATGGGAAATGTACCCTCCGGTGTCATCAAAGATGGCAACTGGAAAATCCCTGAACTAAGTGGCGGTCCAT